AAAATTTTTCTTAGGTTTTGTTAAAAAAGGGTACAGTGAATCGGGAAAATTCCCTCTTTAGACCACTAGATTGAGTTGATGATCAAAGAAATAAGTGGCAATAATTGCAGTATATACCTGATTCAATCTATTCTTTGTGAAATAAAAAACATTTAAACTGAGAGCGAAAAATAGCTTAATACATTTGACTCTCATAAATGAATGGTATGCGCATTTTACAGGATAGGCAGCTTTGCAATTGTTTTCTTTTTAGTAAATACGTCCTATAGCTTTTTATTTGTTTTTTTTGTCGGAGGTCTATACCTCGCAGACAAGGAAAGAGGAACATTTTGAGCAGTAAACAAGGGACAGAGGTGGTTTGGTTCCAACTCAGGGCACTGCCGATGGCGGGGTCAGGTAGGGGCCCCATGAGATGCCCTCTGGTTACTCTTTCATTGGGCTTTTTCATAGGCTTTTTTGGGTGTGGGCACGGGACACAGAGGGGTCCCATGATCCCCTATTGCCAGGGGCCCCATGAGTTGTCAGTTGCCCCTGGTTCCATGTAGGGACAGTCCATCCAAATCAGGGATGTCTGGGTGAGTGACTCAGGTGAGGAATGCTGTCTCCTCTGCTGGGTTGTTCACATCACATATGCACATGCACGCGTCACATATCCAGGGGACATCTAGTTTTCAAAACAGTTGACCTGGCAGAGTGGGGGGCAGTTACGCCTGAACCAAGAAGAGACAGCCAGCCCCAATGACATGAGAAAGGAAGATGGCAGCACAGGATAATGTTGAATTCACCGTCACATATTTTTTCTGGGAACAGCCCAAAGGACAAGGTAAGATGGGGAAAGAAGAAAATGTAGGGGGTGTGAAGTCTTGTTCTAAGCACTACTCATTGTCCAGCCTGTAGCCTTTCCTCTGTGCAGTGGGACCCCATGGATGCCTCCTACTGGTACTATAGAAGCAGTGCAGGCTGGCTTCCCACATTGGCATTTGGTTCACGGCTGTGCATTACTGGACATTGCAAAACAGAAGAAAGTCAATTCCCTACTCAACATTAAGATATGGTGTGTAGTTGGTGGAAGTGAGTAGAAAGTAGAATGGACAGTGGGTGGCAGAAAATGGTGTACACAAATAGTGGACAGAGTATGGCAAGGGGTGGTAAGGGTATCATGTGCACAAAGTGGAATGATGAAAAATAGGAAAAGTATGCACAAGGTGGAGCAGAAAATAATGAAAGAGAATTGAATGGATAGAGTTATGGGAACATGGAGCACATAGAGTATTGGGGAAGATAGATTGCAAAGAATGTTGGGAAGATGGAGTGTGTGTGTGGGGGGGGGGGTGGTGATAAAATGATTAAAAATTTGTTTATGGGTACAGTGTTTGCATGACTGTGCTATTGTCATTCAATGTGTGACAACACTGAAAGCTGAAAATTGGCCTGGACAGAAGAGAGGGTAAAAGTGCTCGGTATTGAAGTGGTTGAGTAAAAGCAAACTAAAGAAATTCCAAAAAAACTTGAACTCATCAGAGGCCCACTTTTCATCAGAGGCCCATAAAAGTCCCCCTTTACTTTGGAGTCCTCCTTACATCAGGGTCCCCATTAGAGTCGCCCCTTGCATCAGATGGCCAAATCTTGCAGCAGGACAAACTTGGCCCATAGCTTGGAGACTCTTGAGTTGGAGGACTGATTTATCATCTCCCTTTACTATCTGAAGCTCAGTATAGACTTCTGTTAGTCCTCATGCACACGAGACGTTTTTTACAGCGGCTGTTTTTGGCTTTTGATGTTTTTTTCTACAGCTAGTAACCCCCCAGCATGTTATCCTATGTGTCCATCCCCGGCATGTTATCCTATGTGTCCATCCCCGGCATGTTATCCTATGTGTCCATTCCCGGCATGTTATCCTATGTGTCCATCCCCAGCATGTTATCCCATGTGTCCATTCCCGGCGTGTTATCCTATGTGTCCATTCCGGCGTGTTATCCTATCCGCCTGTGTCCATCCCCGGCATGTTATCCTATGTGTCCATTCCCAGCGTGTTATCCTATGTGTCCATCCCCGGCGTGTTATCCTATGTGTCCATCCCCGGCATGTTATCCTATGTGTCCATCCCCGGCATGTTATCCTGTGTGTCCATCCCCGGCATGTTATCCTGTGTGTCCATCCCCGGCATGTTATCCTGTGTGTCCCATCCCGCGTTCCATGTTATCCCGGCTGTTAATCCATATGTGTCCATCCCCGGCGTGTTATCCTATGTGTCCATCCCGGCGTGTTATCCTATGTGTCCATCCCCCGGCGTGTTATCCTATGTGTCCATACCCAGCGTGTTATCCTATGGTGTGTGTCCATCTATGTGTCCGGCGCATGTTATCCTATGTGTCCATCCCCGGCCAGCGTGTTATCCTATGTGTCCATCCCCGGCATGTTATCCTATGTGTCCATTCCCGGCATGTTATCCTATGTGTCCATCCCCGGCATGTTATCCTATGTGTCCATCCCCGGCATGTTATCCTATGTGTCATCCCATCCCCGGCATGTTCATCCTATGTGTCCATCCCCGGCATGTTATCCTATGTGTCCATCCCCGGCATGTCATCCTATGTGTCCATCCCCGGCATGTTATCCTATGTGTCCATCCCCGGCATGTTATCCTATGTGTCCATCCCCGGCATGTTATCCTATGTGTCCATCCCCGGCATGTTATCCTATGTGTCCATCCCCGGCATGTTATCCTATGTGTCCATCCCCGGCATGTTATCCTATGTGTCCATTCCCGGCCTGCATGTTATCCTATGCATGTTCCTATGTGTCCATCCCCAGGCATGTTATCCTATGTGTCCATCCCCAGCGTGTTATCCATGTTCCATCCTATGTGTCCATCCCCGGCATGTTATCCTATGTGTCCATCCCGGCATGTGTATCCTATGTGTCCATCCCAGCATGTTATCCTATGTGTCCATCCCAGTCGGCATGTTATCCTATGTGTCCATCCAGCATGTTATCCTATGTGTCCATCCCAGAGCGTTATCCTATGTGTCCATCCCCAGCATGTTTATCCTATGTGTCCATCCCCGGCATGTTATCCTATTGTCCATCCCGCATGTTTATCCATTCCCGGCATGTTATCCTATGTGTCCATTCCCCGGCATGTTATCTATGTGTCCATCCCGGCATGTTATTATCCTATCCCCGGCAATGTTTATCCTATGTGTGTCCTATGTGTCCATCCCCCGGCATGTTATCCTATGTGTCCATCCGGCATGTTATCCTATGTGTCCATCCCGGCATGTTATCCTATGTGTCCATGCACACATAGGCTGTAATCAATCTCCTATTGTTTTGGTGGTAGCAGTAAGTTTTTTGGTACACAAACGTTTTTTGGCTGGAAAACACCCAGGACTAGTGGGTTTCTAGAGGAGTTTTTTAGCTGTAAAAATGCTCTAACACTGAAAAACGCGGCAAAACAATTAGCTAAAAATTAGCTAAACGCTAATGCATAAATGCTAAAAAAAAAAGCTGAAAAAACTCACGTTTTTAACGTGACTTTACACAGCTAACGTTGCAAGTGTTATTAAAACGTCCCGTGTGCATGAGGGCTACGACTGTCACAATGGGAGCAGCTACTTCTAAGATATGGGGCTGTTATTAATGCAACCTGTTTTAAATGTTTATTTACAAGATAAAAATATCAGTATAAAAAGGGGTAGTCTTGAGAAAAAATTTTTAGTCCAAAAAAACTCAAAAACGCAAACGTGGAAAAATGCGGGAAAACGCTGCTAAACACGGCAAAACACAGCTAAACACTAATGCAAAAACGCTAAAAAAAGCTGAAAAAAAATCAGTATAAAAAGGTGTGGTCTTGAAAAACAATTTTAAAAAATAGAATTGTCCCTAAGCCATTATAAGTATCTGCAGAACCTTTTAATCTCATTGTCTTTAGTGTATTTACCCAAAGCTTTGCTCTGTTTATCCTAAAACAAATGTGAGGGCAGAGTTGCTGATGTGTGTAATCTATGACAAAGAGCAAAGGAGTGCAACACATTCAAGGGAGCACAAAGACAAAGGATGTGCACAGTTTGGGAACCTATAGACATCAATTTTTAGTTGACTGTAGTCAGATCAGAAACTATAATGGTTCAGGGCAGAGGCGGACTGACCACTGGAGCACTCGGGCACTGCCCGAGGGCCCGGGGTCAGTAGGAGGCCCCATGAAATGCCCCCGGTACCTTTTTATAGGCTTTTTTTGGGTGTGCTTTGAGTGTGGGCAAGGACACAGGGGCCCCATGATCCCCTATTGCCCGGGGGCCCCATGAGTTGTCAGTCCGCCCCTGGTTCAGGGTCAATGTTTTAATTTAAAACCACTGTACACTATCAAGTGTTTTTGTTGTTTTACCTAGGTATACGTGTAGTCATTGTCTCCGTGTTGTTTGTGTGCCTTGCTGTGTAAGGATGGGCTCACATGCTGTGGCTGCAGTTTGTAGTGTCATAGCTGAATGATTCCCCTGTGTCCATGTATTCATTCACCTAGCTTGTACTCCTTCACCCAAGAGACAAGGCAGCTTCTGGTACAGGGTCGTGCAGCATCCAATTAGCACCTCGCCATTTCTCTGTTGCATCAAAGACATGGGCGGACTGACAAATCATGGGGCCCCCAGGCAATAGGGATCATGGGGCCCCTGTGTCCTTGCCCAAACTCAAAAAAGCCTATGAAAACGGTACCAGGGGCATCTCATGGGGCCCCCTACTGACCCCGGGCCCTTGGGCAGTTCCCGAGTTTCCAAATGGTCAGTCCGCCCCTGATCAAAGCTATTGGGGGTGCTCATGTAATGAAACACATCTCTTTCCTTCATTGTTCTGACTGCTTTTGTCTGTGTCAGATCTAAATACTGTTTAATCTCAACTGCAGAACACTAGACTGAGAGACCCAGAGATATGTAGTTTATTCACAGGAAGTGTCAGTTCTCACACTACTGACAGAGGTCATGAATTAACCTGTGCAGTGCCATGCTTCGTGCAGTGGTGTATTTAAGTTTTTTTACTGCCCTAGGAAACACCAAAATTGGCCATCCAACACCCCCCCTTCCGCAGAAAGAGCTTGACACCAATCAACACCATCAACCCCCTGCGGAGAGAGCTGATATTGACCAACACCCCTGCCCCTCCACCTGAGAGAGTTTTTCACTACCACCGCCCCCCATTCACTGGCCACCCACCTCCCCCGTCAAGAGAGAGAAGACACTCACCTTCACAGCTCCAGACATCCCCGGGAAAGAGAGTCAGGCTCTGCATACACCGTCAAGCAGCCCACAGCCTCTCTCGGATCACACCTGGTCCCCATGCTGCGTGTGTCCCTTCTTCCTTCCCTTCTTCCGAGGGGCAGTGCTGCCCCCCTGAAAAATGCTGCCCTAGGCAAATGCCTTGTTTGCCATGTGGTAAATGCACCCCTGGCTGCATGCCTGAACACAAAACAGAAACTTCTGACAACAGCATGTGAAGATTTACTCTACTATAAGCTGTTTGTACAAGGCAACAAATGACACCATTAAACTATGTGATCAATGCACAACTGATGCAGGTGTGGGTAGGAAGGTTAAGTCTTCATGCACACGGGAGGTTTTTACAGCGGCTGTTTTTGGCTTTTGACATTTTTTTCTACAGCCAGTAAATCCCCCAGCATATTCTCCTACAGTATGTGTCCATGCACACATAGACTGTAATCAGTGTTTCTTGGCTGGGACATTTGTGCTGTAAAAAAAAAAACAGGACTAGTGGGTTTCTGGCATTTTTGGACATCTTTTTGACCAAAAAATGCAAGCAAGGAAAAATGTGGGAAAACACTGCTAAACGCAGCTAATGCAAAAATGATTTAAAAAAAGCTGAAAACTAAAGTTTTTAACGTTTTTTCACACAGCTAACGTTATTTTTGGGCATTATTTGAGATTTTTTTTGGTGTGCTGGCAATATGTACATTGTTCTCTTTCTGAGCTCTTTCTGAGCTTGATAATTTACGGCTGCCAGACTCATTCACCTTTCCAACCGCTCCATCTCCGCCACCCCCCTCTGCCAATACCTCCACTGGCTTCCGATTGCGCAACGGATGAAATTCAAAATCCTAACACTGACGTACAAAGCTGTCCACCATACTGCCCCGAACTACATCACTGACCTAATATCCAAGTACCACCCAACACGCACACTCCGCTCCTCACAAGACCTCCTTCTCTCTAGTTCCCTGGTCTCCTCCTCCCATGCCCGCCTCCAGGACTTCTCCAGGGTGTCACCCATCCTCTGGAACTCCCTGCTCCAACCCATCAGATTATCACCTACTCTCCTCTCCTTTAGGCACACCCTGAAAACCCATCTCTTCAGGGAAGCCTACCCCACCCCCTGCTAACTTGCCGACCTCCTCCACTCTTCCTACCACTCCATCCCCCACAGCTATCTCCTCCTGTACCACTATCCCCCCTCTCCTAGATTGTAAGCTCCAAAGAGCAGGGCCCTCGATCCCCTCATGTTTTGCATTGTATTGGTATTGTTCTGTCACATGTTCTGTCCTTCTTTGTAATGTACAGCACTGAGCGAACTATTGGAGCTTTATAAATACTGTATAATAATAATAAGAATAATAATTTGCAGTGACTGTAAAATTTTAATCAACTAGTGTGTGAGCTGAATTCTACTTTGTAAAGAAAGGTATAACTATACTGGACAGAGATCTTTTTGCTGCAGTAAATACAATTATTGTGGTTTATTCCATAATCAATTAAAAATAGTACAGCAATGCCCTTCACTGTCCACAATCAGCATGAGGCTCTCAACTTGGTGTTGCTTCCATGAGTCCTCGATGTTTTCATGGATTTTATGTTGGACACTTCTGGTCTAGTGCACCTGCAAGGATGATTGACTACACTTTGGATGTATTTTGTCTGCTTCACTGCAATGTTTTACGTTGTTAGACCTGATGTTTTATAAATAAATAATTTGAAAAAACAAAATACAATTAATGGATGATTTTATCCCAACAGGTCCAGTTGCTCCTATGCTGCTAGTGTCCAATTTTTCATCACTCAGTGCCACCTCACTGGACTGTGCGATCAGATGTGAAACCAAAAAGAGATTTTTGGTTCTATTACTAGAGCAAGCTTATTCTGCATGGCCAGTACAAGTACAATTATGTACTTATGTGCAAATGTACAAAGAAGATAAATGGAGCCCTGTTCTACGAACATACTGCAGTATCAGGCGTAAACTGTCCGTAGTTGTTGGCTATATTGTATGTGGATATACAGTGGGGATCGAAAGTTTGGGCACCCCAGCTAAAATTTGTATTAATGTGCATAAAGAAGCCAAGGAAAGATGGAAAAAATCTCCAAAAGGCATCAAATTACAGATTAGACATTCTTATAATATGTCAACAAAAGTTAGATTTTATTTCCATCATTTACACTTTCAAAATAACAGCAAACAAAAAAATGGCGTCTGCAAAGGTTTGGGCACCCTGCAGAATTTATAGCATGCACTGCCCCCTTTGCCAAGCTGAGACCTGCCAGTGTCATGGATTGTTCTCAATCATCGTCTGGGAAGACCAGGTGATGTCAATCTCAAAGGTTTTAAATGCCCAGACTCATCTGACCTTGCCCCAACAATCAGCACCATGGGTTCTTCTAAGCAGTTGTCTAGAAAACTGAAACTGAAAATAGTTGACGCTCACAAAGCTGCAGAAGGCTATAAGAAGATAGCAAAGCGTTTTCAGATGTCAATATCATCTGTTCAGAATGTAATTAAGAAATGGCAGTCATCAGGAACAGTGGAAGTTAAAGCAAGATCTGTAAGACCAAGAAAAATATCAGACAGAACAGCTCGCATGATTGTGAGAAAAAACAATTCAAAACCCACGTTTGACTGCACGATCCCTCCAGAAAGATCTGGCAGACACTGGAGTTGTGGTACACTATTCCACTATAAAGAGATACTTGTACAAATATGGTCTTCATGGAAGAGTCATCAGAAGAAAACCTCTTCTACGTCCTCACCACAAAAATCATCGTTTGAACTTTGCAAATAAACATATAGATAAGCCTGATGCATTTTGGAAAC